GTGTTGTGTCTGGAATGCCATCTTAACATGTGATTTGGATCGTCCATTTCAATGGACCCTAGGTGAGTTAGATATGCACATCCTAGGTGCGCTCCAAATCCATTTTTCTGGTGGAAATTGATTTGCAAGGGAATATAATGGTTTTTGGATCCTCAATCCATCAAAAAGAAGGATTTTTGTAAGTCTTATTCTAACACTGCCCTAATTTAAAATTAGTCCTTGATACATACAAGGCATTTATATGTCTTGTTTGGTATTTAGTTAAAGGATTATGTTAGGGTACACATACATGTGAGCATTTACTAAATGTACACAACATTTTTGGACATTAATTACCCTTGCTTTGCAGTATAAAGTTTTTTGAGCAAGGGTATTTTTCTTCATTAGGAGGGGTAAGATAGATATTTCTTTAAAAATTTAGTGGCATTTAATGCTCCATGTGGGTGATGTCACACACCATGTGAATACTGTTATTCTCCACTATAAGTAATTAATGCTCTTCTTTCTATCATGAATTTCTACGTCGCCCTTGAATAATTACGTAAAATACCCCTAGACGAAAAGTTGCTACATTATAGGGTAAGGGTATTGAGTGTCCAAAAATGTTGAGTACATTGAGTAAATACTCATATGTATGAGTACCTTAACACACCTTATTTAAATAGTTATAAAATAAGATAATTGATTACAATTTTTTTTTAAAGTTCTCAATTGGAATTTATTATCTAGCAAAGGTGCTTTTGCTGCAGATTTACTCCTAAGTTTTGCCATTTTGGAGGGTGATGTTTATGAAAAAATAAAAAAAATGTGAAGCGAGTGACTCATGTGAGTCGGACTTGATTTTGTAAAATTAGGGTAGTCCTAAGGTTTGGGCTTTTGTATCACCTTGCAATTCAAAGCTCGAAGTCGACCCACGTAGGATCGTGCTTCATTCACTGGTGTGGAAACATAACATGTAAAAACTATAATTTTTACTTACCCATGGAAGATTAGAAAGTTCTTAATAGTTTATTCCCAATATTTATAGATGGGAAATTATCAGAATTATACTTTAATTTTTGGTTTATTAGAAAAAAACCTACTTTCCTAAACCTCGTCCATACCTTTTTTTTCACTTTTCATATATTTTGACCAAAATAGCCTTCATGGTAATCGTATAACCGTGAAGGCATCATGGTACTTAAAATACTGTGATGACCATGAGAGGAATCACGTTACTTAAAATACTATAATGACCACAGGTTGTATCACGGTATTTAACTACCGTGATAGTTTCAATGCTTTGAAGAGGTATTTTATCACGGTCTTTTAACTACCGTGATGGTCTATCACGGTTTTTTTTTAGGAGGTATTTTATCACTAGAAATGTACTTTGCCTAGGTGGGGGTGCATAAATAAGCAGTGATGCTTGAACAGAAGGCGGTTTTTGCATTGACGGGGCGCTGTAAACAAGTGGCTGGCTTTGCAGTGGTGGGGTTCTTTGAGTAGGTGGCGGTGCTTGAACGGTAGGCAGCTTTTGGGCTAACTGTGGAAGAGGGGCATAACTAGGTGGCTGAACCAAAGGTGGCTTTTACTCTGGTGCAGGGCTATAAGCAGACAATGACACTTGAATAGGAAGTGGTTTTTGAACACGTCAAGGTGCAAAGGTAGGAGGTGGTGCCTTACCTCCAGGTGGGTTTTGAATTGGTGGAAGACTGTAACTTGGTGGCTCCAATGGAGGTTGTTCTTGCCTCAATGGAGGAGGATGAAAAGGGCCAGGTCTTGAAATGGAGGGACTCTTTGCTCTATAGGAAGGTTATGAAATACCTCCTCAAAAATACCGTGATAAAATGCACCAATAGTGATGGCTTGAGACCACTGCTGTAGTTAAATACCATGATAAAATACTTCTTCAAAACATTGAGACCATCTTGATAGTTAAAATACTATGTACACCATGTGGTCATCACTGTATTTTAAGTAGCTTTATATCTCTCATGTTTATCATGGTATTTTAAGTACCGTGATGCTTTCACAATCATACGACTACCGTGAAGGCTATTTTGGTTAAAAAAAAAAGAGGAAAAGTGAAAAAAAAGCGTGTGGACGAAGTTTAGGAAAGTATGAGGGTTTTTTTTCTAATAAGCCAAAAATTAAGGTATATTTCTGATAATTTCCCTTTATATATTTGTGATTAAAAGACTGCCATTCTGGTCAGGAAGCTCTTAGCAGTTCTTGGTCTAAATCGGCAATTAAGTTACTATATAATATATCATCACCGTCATCCGAGCCTTATCACAACTATTTAGGGTCTGCTTCCGCCATTTTGGATTGAGATTAATGATAAGGATGTGGCAATAGTTTTATGCTGGCTACCAACCGAACACAACCCCACTCCTTTCTCATTTGGGCTTGGGGTTGCTATGGCAGGTTTAGTTGCTATGTATTGTTTTGGGTAAGTAGTTACTACGTATTATATAACATATAGATCATACCGAAAAGCCTAAATGGTTCCATTGGCTAGAGCGCTCTGACCTTTGCCATACGTTTGAAGGTTTAGGGCCCCTAGCCTACTCTTCTCTTTAAACTTTTTATATGCATACCATATATCATATAATATAATATATTTAAATAGATTAAACCTTAAAAAGAAAGGGAGGACTCAAACCTTTAATCTTGTGATTGTTAAACCACAAGGTCTAGACAATTGGATTCTTCAAGTCATTTGTAGTAGTTTATATTATATAGCATATATATGTTTTTTTTTTCATGTTTCCTGCTTGCTGATCTAGCCAATCTGGATCAGGATCGATGGATGGGCGACCCACCCCACCTATCCGTTTTTTAAAGCAATGCTATATATTAAGCAATGAAGAATGATTAGGTGCGCCTTATGTTGTTCGCATGTGTGCTGCACATCTCTTTTATGAATATTCAGTGGTGGAGAACTAAACAATGGGTGTGGCCCCCAATAAGCAGCAGCCTCTGTTGCGTTCGTCTCCATCATTATGGGGATCGAAAATGGACATGATTCAGGTGCTTCTGATGTGCCTTAATATCTGTTGTCTACTCTTTTATTTATAATGTCAAATGGTAGTTGTCGGGATCTCCCAACATAGGTCGCGATCCTGCTCCAGAACCTTGCTCCAACACTCTAGGAAAGGGATCTTTAAGGAATCTCGGTTTTTAAATCATTTTGGGATCTCAATCCTAAGGGTGGCAATGGACACGGGACCCACCAGGCATACCCGACACGGTTTCGGGTATGGGTCCGACATTTGGGCCTGACGGGTTGGGTCCGGGTCCAAAACCTGGACCCGAACACTATTTGGGTCCGGGTCCAAAACCTAGACCCGAACACTATTCGCGTTCGGGTCCAATTGGATCCGACCTGTACCCGTAAACTATTGGAGATAAAATACTCTAAACCCTATTCGTTTGGGTGTATTAAGGATCATATACAATAAGAACTTGTAGTCATCTTTTTCTATTAAATGACAAATCAGACGGCTTAAAATCTAGTGGCAAGTGATTGTGACCTTGTTGGCAATAACATGGGTATATGATTGTAAAGAAAGGCGAAAAAACAAAAAACTCATAGTGAGGGTAGCAATGGACCCGAGGTCTTGACGGGTATAGGTATGGGTCCAACTTTTGGACCCAACGGGTCAGGTCCGGGTCCAAAACCTGGACACTATTCGGGTTTGGGTCCGGGTTCAGCTGGCCCCGACCCGTTTCCACCCCCACTCAATGCCCACTATGAAGGATCCCGATTCCTTCTTTTAGGGATCTTGATCCCAACCTTAAAGACCAAGATAAGAACCAAAATTGATGATTTTCTTAATTTATAGCCAGCTAACACAACTATACTTTAAATATAGTTGCATTACTTGCTGGCCATGAATAAAGAGATTCCTACTTAAAATATGATATAGTCCTAGACTATATACTCTTTAAGGTTGGGAGTAAGATCCCCGAAGATCGAGATTATCAAGATTTCAAAGGCTGGGATCAAGATACCCAAAAGGTTGTGATCTCTATCTCTTGACATTTGGGGATCTAGACCCCTAACCTATGCATTGTACAGACCGCGCTCCGAACCATAGGGATCTTCTGGCATTTCATGATCCCCCATTCCCAATCTAGATCCCGCTCCCCATCTCAACAACTATTATTGTCACATTCTGTTACAATTGTTTTATCTTTTCTTGTAATGTTGTATCTCTGATCATTAAGTTTTGGATATGGGATATTTTCATTTCTAACCCAATATGTTATACAGTATCTTTCAGTATGTTATACACATATACATCTGTATCCAGATAATAGTGGTGTAAACTAGATGTGTTCCCTTATATGTTTTAGTCAGTAATGAGTGTCAACATAGTTACTGCGAAGTGAACCTATTTACTTGTGGTGGTCAATGTTTTGTGAAATTGTAAACATGCAGTTGGACTACTGCATCCCCTGAGGAAGTGTGGAGACCCCCACATTCATGTTCGTACATTACATATATAGAAGAGCCAGATTATGGCTTATGATGGGGAGTTAAACTCAAAATCTGTATTTCCGCAAAAAGCAAGAAATATTCCTTGGTGTATGCTTTGGAGAACTGATCCATGGACGATTAGAAGTCAATATGTGGGCTGGGAAAAGATCCCATTTGCTAAGAATGTTATGGTAGTAGAGCCTTTCACTCCCAAACTAACATGCGCGTGAGTGAGAGAGAGAGAGAGAGGTTTCAGGTTTGATAGTCGACTGCTGCTTGGCTTCAGGTTTGATAGTTGACTGCTGCTTATTCTCTCGCAAAAATTATGCGCCAGTTGTTTTATCCTTTCTCTTAGTAGTGTTTGTGTTACCCATACTCCAGCCAGTTAAGTTAGTTTAGGCATTGGCTCTCTGTTGTCACTTTCATGGTGGCATCTATTCATAGGTGGTGTATCTGTGCTTTTGAGATCTATACTGCACACGGGGAACTGAAAAAGGAAATAGTTGTAATGTATCTTTTATTTGGTGAACAGGTAGTCAGACAGGCAGAAGAGCCAGAGGAGTTTCTTAACCATCTCAAGTCTCTTGCATCGTCAAGCTCATGAAAGCAGCATGGCATGAAGACAGAAAACGAAACAAAATGCCGCTCTTGAGGATCGGCGGGGCCGTTCTTTGTCCTTTTTGCCTGTTTCATTTTGAGCTCACAGGGGTAATGTATCTTTCCTATAATATGCTTTATTCTAGGAACCCTGTGGGGCCCAAACATGTACAGTTTAGCAGTATTCATAGACCTTATGTAGGACCCAGCTGAGAAAGAAAGAACAGGTCACTGATGTGGATTAAGAAAATTGGTAAGCAAACAAGGCAAAAATTGTTGAATATATAGTGGAGTTGAAAGCGAAAGTCTTCCAAGTGTAAGGAGAGAACCGATGCCAAAGTGGTGTCGGTGACTGTTACTCCAACAAATCAGAATTGTAGTTATATTCTAACTTCATCCTTCATCCTTCATCCATTTAAAGAAATGCTTTCTGCCTCTCTTTGAATTATGATGGTTTGAGAGCTGGGGAGTGTGCTTTGGTGGGTTTCTATGACGCTTGTCATTAGAAGTCAGAAGCAGTGATAACAGCAAAATACAGATTTTCAACTCTCATTCTATTTCATCAAATTTTATCTTGCTATTGCAACTGATATGTCAAATTGGATGATTAATGGACTGCTTACACATTGGGTTAAATGGACTGCATGCGCATAATTCCATTGATTGGATGGTTCTTTTAATTGAGTGATCCTTCTAGAAATATGAAAAAGGACTGCTGCTAAGCTGAGAGTGAACGCGCCTCATTATTTTCAGTAAAAATTGGAGTAATATGATAGGCTGTGTCATGGAAATTCAATGTGTGTTTATGGTTTTTTGCATCTTGAAACGAAGCGCGTAAGTGATACTTGAATGATTTTGAGATTTCTTTTTAACCTTTCTTCCACTTTTTAAACTTTGTGAAATTTTACTATAAAAATACTTGGGGTCACTTACCGCGCTTTCAGATATTGTAAAAAGATCCCTTTGTCCCCTGGAAAATGTCATCTCACGGTAATTTTAAATGCCATTTTTTGACACGTATATGTGTCTTTATAACAAAGATAATAAGTATCATATAGTCTTAGAAGGTTCATATGACTTGATTGTAGTTCCTAATTGAACATTCAAAAGTGTGGTCTTTTTTTACCATTTTTGATACATCGAGCTGGTTTTGGGATGATATGGATCTCGGGTTGGTTTTCCACTAAATCTTAATTTTTTGTTTCTTTTAAAGCTTCTCTAATGTTTTTAGATTCCCCTAAATGTCCACCTCATCGATCTCTTTTTTAATTTTATTTTTTTAAAATATTTTTTGAATCACTTAATTGAACGAATTTAGACTGGTTGGATTGTGGAACTAGCTATCCAACACCCACAAATTATATAAATTCTTTTGGTTGAACGTCTTATGATATGAACTTCACCTGTTATTCTATTATCATGAACTCACGAGTTAAGTAATCTAACACAATAATTTTCAATGAAGTGAGCCTCTTGAACATGCCTTATTTCAAATCAAAGATCATTTACGCTCAAAATAAAATAAAATAAAATCAATGCTTACTTATTATCCATGGAAGGTCAAATTTTCAAAGCCTGGGTTAAGACTAAAAATTAAGGCCCATGTAGCTTATCCGGAAGAAAACATAAAAGTGTGCTTTGATGGTCTAAAGTAGGCCGTAGACCAGCGGTGGTCTTATCCATTTATTTTTTGGTGACAAATGATGTATTCCGTCCACAGGTTGTGGACGCTTGGGATTGAACAAACCTTCCTCCAACAGCCAAAAATAAATTTAATTTTTTGTTTTATAGTTTTATTTAAAAATGATATTAAGCTGAAATTTGGGTCATAGTTTTTTTTTTTTGTAAGTAGAATTGAATAAAAATATCGGTTAAAATAAATTTAGAGGTATTTTGATTATTTATGATTTAAAATATTTTTAAAATATTTTTATTTACTTAACTCCATGAAAATAACATATATGTCAAAATTCAGATAAATATTTATTTAAATAAAAAATAAAATAAAATATAAAAATAATTTTTAGCTATTTAATTGGGTCATGAGTTGAATGCTTGTGCACCGTTCCACCCGTCCACATGATGTGACAGGATACTTATCCAAGATGGAAAAACAATGACGGTATTATGATTTGATACTCCAGGACTGAAGTGTATGGACAGAGACAGCATCTTCCTATTTTCAACAACAAAAATAAAAAGAGTAGGAAGTAACACGTCATACTAAGCATAAAAACAAAATGCAGGAGCCGCAAAGTTTGACTCGAATTCAATTAAGGGTGCGGTTTGTATCGATCCTAAGCTCTAAACATTGGAGCCTACCTTCAAATAGTGTTTGGGAGATGTGGTTTCATTATCGGAAATCTTTGTAATAGCTGTAAAATATATTTTTATATTTATTTATAAAATTTAAAGTTAAAAAAATAATGTAGATCATCATATCTACAAAAACTTGAAAATCTTGAAAAAGCACCGTAAAAATATACGTTACAAAATATACTATTTTCAATACTCGAAATCTATTTATTTTTCATGTCTATGCATCTTGATGTCGAGAAGATCAATTTGAAGACATTTAAGTATCAAAACAATATCTTCCAACAAAATTATTGAGGTAGGCTCAAGTTTGATTGTTGTCTAGATTCATTTTATACACAGAGATTGTGCCATCTTAAGGCTTGCAAATGACGGACGAAGGTCAACATACAGAGAGAAATAAGGCTAGCAACGGCCAGTCAGTCCAACCCTACTCAAGCCACAAAATGTGAGCACAAGGTCAAGCTTGACCTGGCCTGGGCAAGGACCACGACAACGTTACCCAACCGGGCCCCGACTGGTTCCTTTTCCCTTATTGTTTCTTTTACTTTCTCCATTACGACTATTAGTCCGGCTCTATGAGGCCCCCGACACTGGGCCAGGGCCTTTTCAAGTCCGGTCCAAGGGACCAAGCCAGGCTTGGCTTAGGCCCAACCCATTGCCAGCCTTAGAAGCAAACTCGTCTAGAGCTCAAAACAAACTTTCTTATTCATTTCTTTGAAAACATTTATTCACATATCTATCTAGACAAATGCAATTATATTCCCCAACACAAAAGATACTAGATGTCGCCAAGGAGAAAAGAGAAAAAATAGCCCATATATCTACGGAAAAAATTATATAAAGTTTCAACGTATACTATAAAAAAATCCAATACAAAAAAGTGTTTTGAAGTCGAAAACTTTTCAATTGATTATCTCGACCTATATATATATATATATATATATATATATATATATATATATATATAGAGACTATATATTATTAGTTATTAGTAGTAGTAGTACTACTACTTACTAAGTAACGTACGTTAGTTTAGGTTAGTAGGTAGGTTAGTTACTTCTT